TATATATATATATATATATATATATATATATATATATATATATATATATATACATATATATATATATATTCATCTATTACAAGAATATACAGACTTGTGCTGGTATAGTATGTTGCATTAACTACACAGTCAAGCAAACAGCAGAGCGAAACAAGTGCTAGGGTGAGTAAACAAAAGAAAAAACAGCAACTAAGAAAATAAACAAACAACAAAATAAACAAATAAAAAACAGAATAAACAATGATTAAGTTTGTATTTAGTTGCTTAGTACAACAATAAAGCATCAGAAGAAAAAGAAATTGAATTCGTCTTTCTCCTGCTTCTTTCTGTCTTTGTTGTTCTTGCGGCAGCAGTAACAACAAACCTAAACATTTACATTTCTTTATTTCTGCTGGTATTCTGTCTATATTGATATATAAACAACATTAAAAACAACAAGCATACACCAAACAACATGTACTCGCGCAGCACAGCTGCAGCTCCCACTGCAGCCATTGCACTCACTGCAGCTGCTGCTGCAGTTGCTGCTGCAGTTGCTGCTGCATTTGCTGCTGCTGCTTCACGTAGCAGCCAAGAGATATGCAGCAAGAGGGAGCTGCAGCAGCACCTGCTGCAAGCTGCTGCCCATTGTGTTTCCTCTCCCTAGGGTGTTTTTCTGCGTAGTACAGCAGCACCGAAAGGAAATATAGGAGGTGGTAGAAGCAGCAGCAGCAGCAACAGTAGCAGCAGCAGCTGCTGCAGCAGCTGCAGCAGCAGCATTTATCATTTGTTTTTTATTGTTTCTCCAGTGCAAGTATCGTCTCCTCTATTCTATCTGCCAGCTCCTCCCCTGCTGCTGGTCTGTGTAAGAAGGGGTGAGCCAACGCCAGCTCCAACGACAGCCGCTGCTGAGGGTCATACGCCAGCAAGCCACGCAGCATATCCTGCAGCAGCAGCAGCAGCAGCAGCAGCAACGGCAGCAGCAGCAAGCGCGGGAGCTGCAGGAATGCCAGAAGAAGTTTCAAGAGCCAAAGCAACAGCAGCAGCAGCAACAACAGCAACGTCCCTAACAGCAGCAGCAGCAGCAGCAGCACACTCATCCACGAGGAGGCATGCAAACTGCATCTGCACCTGCTGCAGCATATCCGCAACAGCAGCAGCAGCAGCAGCTGCTGCTGCTGCTGCTGCTGCAGGTGTTTCCTCACTTCTGCTGCATCTGAGATCTTGCGGGGTCCACTGGGGACGAAGAGCCCCTCCTTAGCGTTAGCAATGATGTGCGCTGCAGCAGCAACACAGGCAGCAGCAACCGTTGGCGATGCACCAGCAACAACAGCAGCAACAGCAGCAGCAACAGCAGCAGCAGCAGCAGCAGCAGCAGCTGGAAGGGTACTGCAGCAGCAAAGCGCATCCCACCTGAAGGATCGGCATGGCCCGGCGAGAGTCCGCGGCAGAAGGGTCGCCTGCAACAGCACATACATATATATAGCTGCTGTTGATGTTGCTGTTGCTGCTGCTGCAGTTGCTGTTGCTGCTGCTGCTGCGACTCTTACTGCAGCACGTTGGTACTGCTGCAACAACAGCAGCTGCTGCAGCAACAGAAATTGCTGCTGGCCCATCATATATCACACCGATGGGGGAGCCAGTTGCTGCTGCTGCTGCTGCTGTAAGGGCTGGTGCTGCTGCGACTAATCCTGCTGCTGCAGTATTTGCTGCTGCCGTTGCTGCAACAGCTGCTACTGTGGCATTAGCTGCAACCGCTGCATCAGCAGCAGCAGCAGCAGCAGCAGCTGCTGCTGCTGCTGCTGCTGTTGTAGGAGGACTCACTTGTTAAAGAGCATCTCGTAAAGGATACACCCCACTGCCCATATGTCAATCTGCAACAGCAGCAGCAGCAGCAGCAGCAGCAGCAAGTGCAGCAAACGCACCCCAGCGCAGCAGCAGAGCGAGCAGCCACCGAAGCAAGATAAACAGCAGCAGCAGCAGTAGTAGAAGCAGCAACAGAAGCAGAAGCAGCAGCAAGGCGGAGAATAGCTGCAACGGGGTGTATGTGGGCTTAGCCGCAAAACAGCTGCAGCAGCAGGCATGCAACAAGCATGACATTCGCGCAGCAAGGAGAGCAGCAGCAGCAGCCTACCTTTTCATCTGCAAGCACCACTAAAGGCAGCAACTGCTGCTGCTGCTGCTGTTGCTGCTGCTGCTGCTGCTGCTGGTGATTGTTTCTGGGTGAATGTTCTTTCTTAAGGCGGTCTTGTACGGCTGTGTCGACGTGTTGTTTGTGTTGCTGTTGCTGCTGCTGTTGTCGGCCTTGCTGCTGCTGCTGCTGCTGCTGCTGTTGTTGCTGCTGCTGCTGCTGCTGCTGCTGTTGCTGCTGCTGCTGCAGCAGCAAACACTCTGGAGGCTGGTACCAGAGGGTCCCGCCGCCTGTGAAGGGTTTTGTCTCTCCCTTGGGGACGAAGCAACTCAGCCCGAAGTCCGCTAGCTTGCAGTCTCCTTCTTGCAGCAGCACATTCCCAGGCTTCACGTCCTATCCAGCCCCAAACAAACACGCATGCATATGCATGCATCCATATGCATGTAGTTTTTTTTCTGCTCCACGTGTTGTGGCTAAGCTCACATGCACCCCCTGCTGCAGCGGCTTGCCGCATCGCTGCTGCTGCTGCTGCGGCTGCTACTTATCCTGCTTCAGCAGCTGCTCGCTGCATGCATGCATGCATGCATGCAGCAAACGGCAGCAGCAGACAAATACAAACGCTGCAGCAGCGGGCGAGCGGAGACGCCCCGCTGGCATTTGGGGGCTCAAAGGATACGTCTAGCATTCTGCACGAAACCCTCATTTCGGGATTTGGGGTTTAGGGTTTAGGGTTTAGGGTTTACAGCTCACCAGGTGGTAAATGCTGCCGTTGGGTTGGTGTTTCAAGTAGTGAAGGGCCCTGAGGTTCACAGCCACCCAGCCAGCCATATAACTAGCTAGCTGGCTAGCTAGCTAGCTAGCTAGTTAACCAGCTAGCCATTCGTCTACCCAGCTATCTGGCTATCCAGCTAGCTATCCAGCTAGATATCCTCCTCGCTTGCTACTCCGCTAGCTAGCTAGCTAGCTAACAAGCTAGCTAGCTAGCTAGCTAGCTAGCCAAGGCTCACAGCAGAATCTGCCGAATCCAACGAGCAGCTAGCGGCTCCTCCAGAGGCC